TAAAGGAGCCTGGCACTGGAGATGAGTTCACGACAATCACTGTGAGGCTTTTAGACGCCTTCTCCAAGCTCAATCTTCATTTCCCCTGACACTGATTTTGCAATAAGGATCCGGAGAAAAGGGGAATGTCCATCTATTCATTTTAATGATCCCTCATTATTGACTGCTGGCAGGGAGGGGGCGGGCAAAGGTAATGATTCTTTGTCTTTGCTGGCCAATCACTCCTCTTAAAGGAATAAGACTCTAAATAAGGCCACTAATGGATGCCCAGTATGACCCAAAGCTGACCCCGCATGCAACCCATGCAGACTGACTTCCCGACATGAAGGAGTGAGGAATTCGCTGCTTTATAGTTATTTCTCTTTTGTTACTGGGTTGGTTATGATTTTTACAAATGGAAAGAGGGAATTGTAATCAAAAACATCTAACAACAAATTCCATGTGTTCTACAAATATTGATATATTTTTTTAAAAGTATATCACTGAAGCCATGATTTTGGGCATGCTTTTTCTTGCAGATTATCAAAGAAATAGTTTGGCATTCTGAAAAGATAGCTTACTTGCTTTATTTTATTAAAGAGCTGGTATTATGGTTTTTGGCTTTTTCCCTCTCCTTTATTGAGTTATATATCTTTTTTATGCATGTACTAGGTCTGCAAAGTGAAAAAGCCCAAAGTCCACACCAAAGGGAGTTCCCATCTCCCACAGAAAACACTGCTCTGAACTGCCTGAAAACAGCTCGTTTGTAGTCCAGCCTTTACTTCCCTTTCTTGTGACGTCACAATGAAAATACGTGTCATAATGCTCGCTGAGCGACTAGTCCAACACGCCCTCAAAAACACCGGTGGAAAAACAGTGAGCTGCAGCATACCTCTCCTCTCCCTTCCAAACACTAGCTACCCTCCAAGCAGTCAATGGACATGAAGTTGTTACTGTGATGTAGAGACAGAGCTCAGTTAAAACTTTATGGATGAAAGATACTTTTGTTACAGATTAATAACTCACCACTCTGAAACTCTTGCTCCAGTCCAAATTGCCAACCTGGTCGGCAACATGTAGCCTACAGCTGAATCGAAGCTGTTTACCATCTTTTCGCTGACCTGCCTTTCTCTGCTTCTGATTGGCTATTACCAGCCTTTCGCTAACCCGCCCTTCTCTGCTTCTGATTGGCTAGTAGTCCTTAACTAGGAATTGTGCATGTGCAACTCCCAACAAAGATCATTTAGAGACAAGATGTATCACTCCATAGCTAAAACAAAGCCTTCAACACAGGGTGAAAAGAAAGGACTTCCTTTCTGTGCAGTATGACAAAAATATGGCGTTTTTTGAAAATTAAACCATGTAAACCTGTTCTGGTACAACCCCTAAATAGGACTTTAACCTGAAAATGAGCATAATACTACCTCTTTAAATAGGAAGATCAATACCGCTCATATTTACGTGTGTGAGATAAATATGAGGCTACAGCTAGCAGCCAGTTAGCTTAGCTTAGCCCAAAGACTGGAAATAGGGGGAAACAGCTAGCCTGGCTTTGTCCAAAGGTAACAAAATCCGCCTTCAGCACCTCTGAATCGCACTAATTGTTTAATCTTTACAAAAAACAAATGTTTTGGTTTGGCAAAGTTGTTAGACAGAGTAATGCTAGCTCTTTCCCCCTGTTTAGTCTTTGGGCTAAGCTAAGCTAAATGGATGCTGGCTGTAGCTTCATGTTTACCATACTGAAGGGGTATCATACTTCTCATACATTTCTCAAAATGCTGAACTGTCCTTGGAAAACGTTTTCCCACGACATTTTTTCATATCCAGACATTTTATCTGCACCCACCACATATTTATCACATATTGATTTAGATGCCTTCAGCAAAATGACTCTAAGGACTTGCAAGATAGTGGTCTTACATTTTAGAGCTCACAAGGAGCAATGATAGCAACATATTTAGCCTTTACTTTAGTATGTATGCATGCCGTGTGTGTGTGTGTGTGTGTGCACGCGCACGTGTGTCTGTGTGTACATCTCAGCCAGTCTGTCATCAGTCTGTCAAGGTAATGAACCCTACTTTACTGCAGCCTCCAACAGCTCTTTAAGGCATACTTCACACCACTGAAGAAATACACTCAGGTATTAGTTGTTTTGCCTGGATGGTCCGCTGGATGATGGGTGGGCGGGGATGTTATTAGGAGCATTCATCTACAAGGCTCCCCAAGCCATACTATACTAAAACTGACCACAAGACAACCCTATCATCCTCAAAGATTACCTGTCTCCTGCACTGTATATGAATGTTTTATCATAAAAGCTTTTCTTTTTTGCTAAGTGCCTCCTTGAGTGTTTGCTTTTAACTTTTGATTACTTTACGTCTTGTTGCAAAGAAGAAAAAAGAAAAATGCCCGGGCCCATTTGAATATAATGGACTTAACGGGAAAGGTAGTCTCTTATGCTTCAGTGGTGTAATCCAACACAGTGGGTGTGAAAAAGTTTGCACCAAGTGGTAGTTGCAGTGCCTTGGAGTTGCATTAGTTTTTATCTTGACATTGTCAAAGTGGGCCAAGCAGGTGGAGTGAGTCAAGGGAGAAAACAGACATGACACAATCATATAAATAAAACAGTATGGCAGGCTTTGTATAGAATCCATATGTTTCCGTTTGTGGGGAAATATAGGATGTCATGCATTACAGTGTAAAAAGACTCATTTACAACCATTAAAGGCAGGCCAATTCAACATCTCTGCTTTTGATGTGGTGGATCACATCTCATTTGGCTCTTTTTATATATGATAGCTGAGTTTCTCTTTTATATAGTCATGAGTCATTTAGAAGAAAAAATATTTTTCTCTCATTTGGTCTAGACGTTGAGGTTTTTAAGCCCTTAGCCACCCCCACCCCCTCCTACTACTCTAGGTTTTACCAGACGTCGCGTTGTGAGAGGGGAATGGTCGATTGCATAACGGAAGGCGAGACTTGATCGTTCCTGGCCTTCTCACAAAATTCAATCATTCTCTGGATACTCCAATCCCATGACGGCCCATTAAAGAGCAGCGCGGGCTAGGATTTCCCCTCATGTGTTTTAAATTGAAATTACGGTCACAAAGTCTGCCATATGCATGAATCGAAGAAGACAAGGAGCTTGGGGAAAAGGAGATATCAAAATAGTTGGACTGAAGAAAAGAAAGAGGCAGACAGAAAGATAAGGAAGACTGCAGCCCCCCCCCCCCCACCCCTCATTATTGTGTTTGTTATTGTTACCCGTGTCATCCTGCCACCCACATTCATATTGAGCAAACTGTCCACCTGTCGAATCTCAATGCATTTGGATCATTTCATTATGTTTAAGAATAAAAATGTGACCTAATCTTGAATGTTTTTCCAAACTCTGATATTAAGCTATTGCTAAAATCATTTCAAACAGGTCTATGGCTTTTAAACTCAGCACACCATAACTCATACAAACCACAGGAAGAGATAAGAAGAATAGATGAAGTATGAGACACCAGGAGATAATGGCCCCAGATGTTCTCTGAGGAACCACTGGGATCTGAGTCAGACTCTGACTGAACCATGAGTTCCTCATTCCTATTTGTCCCATGGACTGAATGAATGATAAATACATACACACATAATTTAGTGTGAGAAGGAAATGATGCAGACATGACTCTGGTGACATGGGCAAACAACCCAGAGACATACATCACTACTCCACCTAAAATGAGGCTGAAAGATTTTTGGGGGGAAAAACCTACATGAGGACAGAGAGGTTTCTGTTTATGCTCAGATTTTCATCCAAATTGGGTAACGCTTTGTATAATTCAAAGGACATCCAAGATCCATTTTTATTTAACCACTGATATCTGAATATTTTCTTATTGACCCATTTAGAAAATGTGACTTTTATCATCTGCAGCATTACTTGTATATTGAAGATTGAGTGCAGCTAAGATGTGCAGTAGCATCAGTTCCTCTTGAGGAGCTTTTAATCAGACAGTGACATCTAGTGTTGCTTTGACAGGTAAACTACTTTTTCAATGGCATGTCACTTAAAGACAGTGTGCATAGATGTAAACCAAATAATTCACAGTGTGCAAAGCAATAGCAAAATACCAATGTTTTGTGATAAATAATTATGTATTGGTTGTGTAAAGCTATACATTTTTCTCAATGGCAAACCAGAGGAAAATATTGCCTTTCAGATATTATGAAGGAAAACGGTTGTAGAAGAAGAAAAAAGGATTTCAATGTTGTTATTATTATTAGTACATACACAGTCTGAAATACACACATTCACATGCTTTTGGGAGTTCAGGGCCATGCTCAAGGCCACCTTCGGCAGTGCCCAGGAGGCGAACTGGCACCTCGTCAGCTACCAGTCCACATTCTGCTCGAACCAGCAACCCTCCGGTTACCAACAATAACCATAACTATGCTATTTACTGTGTCATCTTTTAATTTTTCTTCACAATTGCACATTGCATGTCAACCTATGAAGTGCCTTTGGATCACCTAATGTCAGCACATGACAAGTTCTGAGTTCAAATTAGTTAATCTGGCAATCTCATATCTCATACATACACATAGTGTATATTGTATGGACAGATTATTGATTGAAATTTTTCTTTCTTTGTACAGTTACAATCAGCTGTTACAGTGTAAAATGATTCAAACATACTAGTTATAAACTCCAATATGCAGTGAGAGATCAAGTCCAATGTGCTCCCTTTTGGCACATACAGCCACGGCCATTATTTTTGGTGTCATGTGACCAATATATTATCAGTTATTATTGTGGCTCACATGACATGTCTATGTATCTAGAAAAACTGACTGTTAATGTGTAGATAATTCTATGATATGCCTATAACTTGCATAGCATCAAGAGGGGTGGGTCAGACTGTGTCCGTGGATGAATGGTGTGTTTTCCTGGCACCCTCTATCCTTGGGCATAAAGCCTTCTGCCCCTGCCAGGTTAGGTTAAGGGGAAAGTTTAAGGAAATTTGTAGTACAAGGCACATATTTAAACATGTGTTTTATTTGGTATTTAGTGGTTTCTTCACTCAAGTAACACATACAATGCAAGTTATCACATTAAACAACCATGTGCACAGAAAAAAAGCACAAATCATTCAGTTAACAACCATGTACACCAATAAAAGCACAAATCTACCAGTGGCTCAAAGAAGGGCATGTTTTAAATCCAAAAAAACCAGAGGTTGTTATAAAAGCAACATCAATCAATTATGCTTAATTTTATGTTCAAGTAAACTGGCCTTGACCAATAATTGAGAAGAAGGTGTAATATTCTCAGCAACAAAATGCCCCAACACAGTAATAATAGGTGTCATGTCAGCCTTTTGTAGAGCTCACTCCATAAGTCAACAGAATATAAAATATTATTCTTCCATCTTCCATCATCCAACAAATTCAGGGAGTGATACTATTGTAGATAAACACTGACCTCACCTCTGTAGGAATACATAAAACACAACACAGCAATGACTTCAGTGCTACTGAAATAAGAGACAATTATATTTCAGTTTTGTACAGCAGTGTATCACTTAAACATATTTATTCACTACATTGGGCACTTGGTGTTGCAAGCATCACCTGACTTGAAAAGTCTATATACGCTGACCAATGGGAACATGGACACAGCACCAACCATGGAGCCCAATTGCACTACTGCTCCGCACCACACAAGGGCACTGTGGCCCTCATCCCTCAGAATCACCCCAATGATGACCTTCACATATGACAGGGACAGGACAAACAGGATCCAGGTCAGCACCTGTAACACAGAAGAGGTGAATATTATGCATTATGATCTGACACCCAGTCCCTGTTGTACAGATATTAGTGAAATTTGCAAAGTGTCCTAGTTTGACCTCAACATGTTAGCTATGTCCAAATACTACAATAATACACTCAAAAATTTACATAAAGACAATATCCAGAATTCTAGTTTTGGGACACTGTAATGAAGTGATCAACAAAGTAAAATGAAAAACAACAATAGCCATAAGCCTTTCCTAAAAGACATGCTAACTGAGATCGTGCTCACATGCAATTCGTGTTTTTTTTTCAATTGTATTTTAAAGCTGCCTTGTCTGCACTATAAGCCCTTATTTTGAAAGAGTGTGTGTCATTCCATTGACTTTTAACAGCACGTACATAGCACAGCATGATTTTTCTTCAAGTTTCATTATGCTGGCAAAACACACATTGCTTGCTGATACGGTGTATCTGCCAGTTTAATGCGACCCCGTACAAGAGCACCTGCTAATATACATGTGAATTAACACTTCTGTGATGGTGAAAGCATTCCTCAGGGAAAATAAATGTGTTCATAAAGATGACACAAACATGGTTTGACAGTATTGTCACAATCAAGTCAGACAGCATTGGATTGATCTTAGTACCTGCTAATCACACTTCACTCCCAAATCATAAAACATCTGAACATACTGTACAACTGATTATGAAGGACGGGTTGTACTTTAATTTTTCTATAAGGTGTGACATGAGCCCCAATGACAAGGCGGAACATGAGATCCAAAATGAACGTCTATTAAGTAATACAGTTAGCAGTCTAAATACTAGAACACAGTAGAGTGCAGATCTCCGCTAGGTGTGTCTGGGGGCATGTGGTTGCTGAACAGATAGTGGCAGGCTGAGTGTTCAGAGTGTACACATTTTAGTAGTTCAATGAAGGGGAGAAAATTTTTTTTGTAAAGTACAGACTAGTATAGTGTAACTTTTTAATAAAGTATTGCTGTATAGTATGTTGCTCTATAGTGTACTGGTATTGTAACTGAACCTCCTTGGTTCGCCTAAATGTATATACTTAAGGAAACAATAAATGGTCTTATTTATTTAGAAGCTTTTGTTATTTATTAAGACAATTTTGTTACACAAAATAAAACACCTCCCTACCCCCTTCTCCCCTCCCAAACACTCAACACTCACCCAGTTGTCCCTTCATGCAATATTTGATCTTGGTACAAACATGCTGCATGCTTATTGACTTGCTGATGATGCGATTTAGGTATCAAAATTTGGTACCCAATGACAAAGCATTTATCCATACTCGTTAGTATGAAAGCATTTCGTCGGTGCCATAAAAATTTGAAGTTCGGTACCCAGCCCTAGTAGTATGTGAAATTAGCTGCGGACAGATAGACCCACACACACGCACACCTTACCAAACGCATGAGCCCCTCCAGGCTGTCCCAATTCATTAGAATAAAGAATCTTACTATGACTGTAGTTCCAGAGGCACTGTGGACCAGCAGGGGGCAGGGACTAAGAGCAGCCATGGCCATAATGTAGGCTCCAAATCCAGTCCCGATCATGGTCAAGAAACCCATTAAGATGAGAGATCTGGCAACACAAAACCAATGCACATGGTAAAACTGAGCATTATCTGTTACACTGAACCACTTTGCTTCATCAAACAAACGGATATGATAATTTGAATTAATTCAGCACATATATCATTTAAGCTATGACCTCTACAAACTCTAGTGACCTGTAGGAGTTGCAATTATGACTGGAATTTTATATCATTGGAAGAGACAGATAAAATCTTAAACATTTTAATACTTTAAATAAAAGATCATTTCAAGTAATTATATGGTTCCAAAAATAAACATTCTTACCTAATGGGCATGAACATGGCAATAAAGCAGGCCACTGGGTTAGCAACAGCTGCCATGGTGGCAGCTAGATGGTAGGCCTTGTTCCCATAAGGCAGACAGGAGTAGGACTGGACCGAGGGCAGCACTGCGTTGGTCAGAGCATTGACCCAAGCCAGTACAATAAAGATGAACAACACCTCAAGACTGCTATACGTCCCCAACCCAAAAGAGCTCCTGGGTTCCCTCCTAATGGTTTCACCAGGGCCGATCATAGGCTTCTGCTCTGGTGTCTGGGCGTGCAGAGACAGACCTTGTTCTCTCTTCCCAGGGACCAGATCACCATTGAAGTACAGGTCGTTCTTTCTCTCCCGAGCCACAGAAGGGTGATGGTTAAGTAGGATGAAGGCTATCATGCACACAACCATCATGACACTGAGGAACACGAAGAAGACCTGGGCAGAGAATTTAGCTGGCTGGTAAATGGCTCGTAGCTCTCCACTGCCTTCCCTAGTGGCATTATCAGCTGTTATGGTGCCTGCATCAGCCAAAGTTGCATTCTGACAATGGACTACACCAACACCTTGAATCAGAGCCACCAGTGCAGGCACCAGACCACTGAGGCCTTCCCCTGCAAAGTACGTGGTGAGATACTTTGGACGTAGCCGCATCATGAAAGGCAGAAAAGTAACAGAGGAGGTGCAGTCCACCACAGAGAGCAGGAAGCTTAACACCAGCAGGGGTACACTGTGCATAGAGCTCCCTATTGCCACTGTGTGTCTCCAGAAGAAAGCCAGCAGGAATGTAGCAATGACCCCCAAACCTACAATGCAGTAGATGACCGGCCGCTCATCTAGCACCCCTGGGCGGAAGTGGTGCATCAGAGTGATGAAGAGAGGACCAATGTTGGCCATCTGGATGAGGACTGTGAGGTAGGATGGCAGATACCAGCCCTCTGGGATCTTGGGTACAATCAGGGGAAGCTCCACCCACATTCCGTTGATTGCCACCCAGGAGCCCATACCGAACAGGCATGCCAAGACATGAGTGAGCAGCGACATGATGGAGTGATGATGATGGAATGAGGTAAATCAGTAAATGTAGATGCACGCAATCTGAAAAACAGACACAACATAGGACAGTTTTATGAGTAGGATGCGAAACATGTTGATTTTTTTTACTTGAAGTTTCAATCTGATATTTTATTTAAAATTGCCTTTCACTTTCATCCAACTTTATGACGGTGTTTTTTGCTAATAAAATAGTTGTCTGGTTTGAAGCGGAAGATATTAGCCTCATTTAACTTTTTAGTTTTAGTGTTTAATAGTGAATAATTTGCCCCCAAGGCCTGTAAAGTAAGTAAGAAAACACCACATGGCGGCTGTAGTGAGGCTGTACTTACGTACTTACTGATAGTGGCACCTTTAGCTAAATGCTAACTGCAGGATGCTAACATGCTCACAATGACAATGGTAAAATGCTGGTGTTTATTGTATAGAATAGTATATAGTTTATAGTTTAGCATGTTAGCATGCTAACATTAAGCCTGTCAGCACTAAAGTACCGCTGAGGCTGAATCAAAGTGTCTTGTGGATGATATCAAAAAATACTGTTAATAAGCATGGGATAATAAGCATGGGATAGCTGAATATCACATATTTGTTATTGAGTACAAAAGCATGTGCCCATGCGGCTTGAATTGACCTTCCCAATCTCACTTTACTCTGCCTCTTATTCAATCCCTCTCCCATGTGCTATTTGGCAAGGGATGCCTGACCTTTCACATACTGACACACTACTCCGGCAAAAAGCATTATGTGGTTGTGACATAAACAGACATATTAAATAGGGATGCTTTTGAAGCTGTGCGATAAAACTGTTAATAATAATAGTTATAAAGCTGTCATTGTGAAGGACTTAATTAAAACATAAACACATAGTAAACTTTACACTGACTGTTTTCTTCTATACCAACACGTTAGCATATTACAACTTGTTGATCTGTTACTGAAACTAAAAAGGTTTTCTGATGGTTTCTTAACTGGACAGCATCACATATATGTTTAAATATATATACATATATATATATATATATATATATATAATATAATCAGGAACAATAAAGTATTGCCAACTATGTTAGGTCAACATCATAAAACTTCCTGTTCCTGCTTTCAAAGGTAAAATCTAAAACTCATCCTTACATCAACTGGGTCAACTTTTCATCCTTTCACACTGTAAGTGAAGCAAAAGGATGAGCCAGGTTCTAGGATAACCAGGAAATCCTATAATCCACATACATACACCACAGTTCTAAAAGGTGTCAGAATATCACCTTACCTCATTCAAAACAAAACCAGGAAGAGACTCCACTATCATTCCTCTTTCTTATAAAATCGTCACTGCAAGTGTGTGTGTGAGTGTGTGTGTATGTGCATTCCCTTCCCCTTTTCTCCTCCATGGACCCAGCATTAACACTCTATTTCCGTGTCTGTGTTGCACTTCACGGGGAGGGACTGCACAGGCGCACATGTCCTGCACTACCATGACACTTTCATCATCCCTCTATTGGAGGGTGGTTTAAAAAATCAGACAGTCACGTGCTCTCTGTGTGCCTGGGAGCTCAGCAATAGGTGGAAATGAGAGTGAAGGGCGGTCTCAGTGAGAAGAGCTCCTCCTTTTCCTTTTTGTTCTCCCCCAACCAGCATACGACCTTGTGGCATGCCCTCCTTTAAACACACAGGCAGCAGTGTGAGAGAGAAGAGTGAACCAGCCTTTGGTTCCAGTTTCAGAAAAGTTTGTACTACATACTGCAAAAACCACACTGACTATACTTCTATTATGGAACTTCCAAAGTGTCAGAACTGAATGAAAGAATAAATAAATAAATGGGGAAATATAAGCAAGAATGAATGAATGAATGAAAGAATAAATAAATAAATGGAAAATATATGCAAGAAAGAATGAATAAAAGAATAAATAAATAAATGTGGAAATATAAGAAAGAATGAATGAATAAAAGAATAAATAAATGGGAAATATATGCAAGAATGAATGAAAGAATAAATAAATAAATGGGGAAATATATGCAAGAAATAATGAATGAATAAAAGGATAAATAAATAAATGTGGAAATATAAGAAAGAAAGAATAAATTAATTAAAGAATACATACATTTGCTTTTGCTATTTCCTTACGAAACCTATTGTCATTGCCATTCCCTAAAGAGACTTGTCATTGCTTTTCCTTTGCAAACCCAATCTGTCAATCAATGTGTTTTGGCCCGCCCACTAAGTCAAGTAGCCGATGACTGATACCTTTGTATTACCTGTGTATTATGATGATTGACTGTATAAAAAATTGACACAGTGTCCATTACATCACCCATTGATTTCTGAACAGCTGTTTTGAAGGAGCTGAGGTTCCTGATTTCTGAAACCATGCAACTATGGCTCCCAAGCTAATATGCTACTCTGCGTTGCTAGCATGGACGTAGCTAATCGGCTAAACCCCCCAGAGGCAAGTCGACATTGGTGGTTGGTAGCCGGTGGCCGTATCATTACTAGCTTGACGTTACACTGGAGGTAGTTGAATATTTTCAACTCAAGCGAGAAATTTGCATGACGCTGTGTTGCTATAGCCTATCAAGGTTGAGATTGTCCATACATCACCAACAGCCTCAGAGCGTTGTGTGGAGAGGGCCAGGCAGAGTGGGCGATTGAAAATCTGCAGGCCAGCTGATCGCTGCTAAACCTCCAGCTTCGGAAAATAAACACCCATGGTCGGACTGGACTTTGCTTGCAACTACTGCTGGGAGAAAAGAAAGCAAGGAGGTTGAACAACCTGGTGAGTTCAGAAAACATGTGTATGTAACTTTATTCCAGCTGTTGTTGTACTTTACTGTGACCAAGTTAGCATAGCATAGCCTTGATCGATCCAAACTCCATTCAGAAAACAGACATTCAGAATCAGAATCAGAATCAGAAGGAGTTTTATTGCCAAGTAGTGTTTTACACATACGAGGAATTTGCTGTGGTGATAAGGTGCTACACGTAGACAAACATACAGTCAACATAAACAAATGTGGAAATATATAAATATGGAATTGAAGAACAACGTTGCAGATATATACATGTGCATTATTCTGGGTCTGTGCCGTGCAGAAGTAACGTAACGGAAGAGAATATTGTGTACATATAAATATATAAACTGACAACATAAAAATATACAACAACAAAGATCAACAATCAACAACAAATATGTGCGACGTACCAGGTCTGAGCCCGACACAAGATGAAACAGTATTTACATGTGCAGAGACATTTGTATTGTTTGCAAGGGGGGAGTGTCAGTGGGGGACCCGGGCCTTGTTAATGAGGCTAGTTGCAGACGGGAAGAAACTGTTTTTGTGGCGAGAGGTTTTGGTCCTGATGGACCGCAGCCTCCTGCCAGAGGGGAGAGTCTGAAACAGTTTGTGTCCGGGGTGGGAGGAATCAGCTGCAATCTTTCCTGCTCGCCTCAGAGTCCTGGAGGCGTACAGGTCCAGAAAAGAAGGAAGATTGCAGCCAATCACCTTCTCTGCAGAGCGAATGAAGCACTGCAGCCTGCCCTTGTCCCTGGCGATGGCAGCAGCGTACCAGATGGTGATGGAGGAGGTGAGGATGGACTCAATGATGGCGGTGTAGAAGTACACCATCATTGTCTTTGGTAAGCTGAACTTCTTCAGCTGCTGCAGGAAGTACATCCTCTGCTGGGCCTTCTTGGTGAGGGAGGTGATGTTCAGCTCCCACTTGAGGTCCTGGGAGATGATGGTGCCCAGGAAGCGGAAGGAGTCCACAGTGGTGACTGAGGAGTCACACAGGATGATGGGGGAGGGTGCGGTCTGTGCTCTTTCTGAAGTCCACGACCATCTCCACTGTCTTCTGAGCGTTGAGCTCCAGACTGTTCTAGCTGCACCAGGTCACCAGATGGTCGATCTCCCACCTGTAGGCAGACTCGTCGATGAGCCCAATGAGGGTGGTGTCGTCCGCAAACTTCAGGAGCTTGACAGACTGGTGACTGGAGGTGCAGCTGTTGGTGTACAGGGAGAAGAGAAGGGAGGAAAGAACGCAGCGTTGAGGGGAACCGGTACTGATGGTCCTGGAGTCAGAGACATGTTTTCGCACCTTCACGTGCTGCTTCCTGTCCGTAAGGAAGTCTGTGATCCACCTGCAGGTGGAGTCAGGCACGCTCAGCTGGGAGAGCTTGTCCTGCAGCAGGGCCGGAATGATGGTGTTAAAAGCAAAGTTGAAATCCACAAACAGGATCCTGGTGTAGGTTTCTGGGAAGTCCAGGTGCTGGAGGATGTAGTGAAGGGCTATGTTTACTGCATCATCTACAGACCTGCTGGCTCTGCAGGTGAACTGCAGGGGGTCCAGGAATGGGTCTGTGATGGATTTTAGGTGGGACAACACAAGGCGTTCAAAGGACTTCATAACCACAACGGTCAGGGCGACGGGTCTGTAGTCGTTTAGTCCAGTGGTCCTTGATTTCTTGGGGACAGGGATGATGGTGGAGGCTTTGAAGCAGGCTGGCACCTCAAAATACAAAATGGGTAAAACAATTATTGACAAAGCACATGAACAAGCAGTTTCCTCCCAAATGCCATAAACCTACTGTACTCTGAGATCACTTCAGCATGATAACCTCTATAGCATGTAACAGTTACGGTAGCATGCATGATCTCTGTGGTATGTCGCCTGTCTAACTGAATCTCTCGGAGCTCGTCTGGTTTGCAGTTACAGCAGATTTACTCCACAGTTGGATTTAGGACAAAGGACAGTAATGTAGAATCGTCATCGCATGTGGACAAAAATTGCATGCTCTGTCTAGTGGCAAATCCAAAGTACAACCCAGTGACACAACAACACATTGATCATATAATAGATTTAAATTCATTATTTGATAAATAAGTAAACTAAATAAATGAAACAACACAATTTGTCCCTCTTAAATTGTGAGAACAGAACAACATGCATGAAAATGTGTTCATACAGTTTTCCTTCACTGTTACCTTTTTATA